TATTTTTTATGTTTAATTACATTTATATCAAAAATTGCTAGGAACTAAAGCGATTAAGGTAGATCTAGCTGTCCTTTACATCCATAAACGTTATATGTCAGTGGAACAAATGGAGTGAGCTTTGAGCGTTCCACGATTTTTGGAGACTGTCTATACACGGGCTTCATAAACAAGCCTATATGTATGTTTGTCCAAGAAATTTTTGGATGAAATACAAACTGCACAACTTCAAAATCGCATAAAAATAATCCGCATAAAAAGAGACCTTACAGTATTTGTTGTTCTAAAGCAGTCATAAATATTTAACATCTGAGAAACTGTCATGCCTGAGTATTATTTTTGCAGAATAAGTTTATGAAAAAAAAAAAAGTAATAAAAAATAAAGAACTTGTGAAAAAGACTTCCATTCAATGCTACTTTCATTTTCTAATAAGAAAACTTGATATAGTTACAGAAGATAAAGTTTAGAAAATTTTCACCATTTTTAGTAAAAACAATAAAAATAAAAATTTCTTAAACATTTTTGTAGAACTTTTAAAAGTTGCTTGCAAGTTCCTAAAATTATGTGATACACAGTTTGAGTAAATCATAACAAAAATAATTAAATATATTTTACAATTAATGATCAAATATTTTTTATATCTTACCTTCTTGTGGTATTTGTTGAGCAGTAAAACGTACACCATGTGGATTAACATATTCGCTGTCTCTATGACTGTTAGTTCTGTTATTGTCACTTTTGATGTTAAGATCATAAATTTCAGTTATACTATTACTTTCATTTTTTATTTCTTGATTCTCTGATTGCTAAAATTGAAACAACAAAGTAATAGTTAATAATAATACTCTGCAAAAAATAAATATTATCAACAAACTTACTTATTTATTTTTTCTATTTGAAATTTCATGTTTTGATTTATTTTTAGTAGTAAATTATTCATGAAATATACTAGATTGATGCATTGTGGCCTGAACATTATTACATAAATCAAAAATAAAAAAGTTAACAACAAAAATAACTTGTAAGTTTGTTTCGTCCGATGGTTCTTTTCAGTTTTTAATACTTGTAGACATAATTCGCCCATGTAGGTAATGGTAAATAATGGTGATCCCTACATGGGCGAATTATGTCTACAAGTATTAAAAACAAAAATAACATTAAACTACTATTTAAAAAAAACCATCTTATAGTGTTATAAATGCCAAATAACAAACAAGAAAAAACTTCGGATTAAAAATATTAGTACAGTAGAGCGTCATTTATCCGAATCAATTGGGGACTGGGATTGTTCGGATAACTTATTTTTCAGATAACCAATTATGTACGAAAAAATATATTAATTTATCCTGTGTTGACATTTTTCTCCGTTGCGTGTTGCTTCGAGTTGAATTTTCGTCTGTTAAGCCTAACAAACACTATTGTATCATTAAAAATTATTTTTTTATTTTGTACAAACAAAATAAATATATTGAAAAATATAAAAACAATAAAAAATTATACTTCAGAAGTTAATTTAGTATCAAAAACATAAAATATTTGAGTAGC